TCTTCAATGCTTAAAATTCTTTCTTTTATTTCTTGTATTCTGCTGGTTATACTTGTCTCTGTAGTTCTTTTTTGTTACCCAGATTTTTCATATCTAGAATTCACATGGTTTGTGTTTTCTTTATTACCTATATTTCATTCTTCAAGTCTTGAACTGTTTCCTTCACCTGTTTTTTCTTTGTTTTCTTGGGTTTATTTGAGGGATTTATTAATTTCTTCCATTTTTTTGTTTGTTTTCTCTTCCATTTCTTTAAGGGAGATTTTAATTTTCTCTTGAAATTCTCCATCATTTTCATAAAGTTACATTTAAAGTCATTTTATTTTGCTTCTTCTGGGTTATGATGACCAAGTCTTCCTGCTATGTGACCATTGGATTAGGGTGTTACCATGTTGCTTATTAGCTTGTTGGAAGAATTCTTGCATTGGTGCCTACCTATTTCTTCCTTCAAATAAGGCCAGCAGTGTCTTTCCATCTTGGTCCAATCCTTGCTGTGTCTGTCTGAGTATTGGGGAGTTTTTCTTGGTCTGCTCTGTACTGTCAATATCTGTCTCAGGAAACTTCTGACGTCTCTATTCACCTGCTTTCTTGATCTTCTCTTCTGGTTTTCTCTCTTGGTCCTTTCTCTTGGTCCCTCAGTGTTATAGCAAGCTCTTGGTCCCCTCTGAATTATAGTAAGCTCTCCGCTCTTAGGTGGGGTATGGCTCATAACTTGGGGGAGTCCAGTGAATGGGTTTGGGTTTTGGGGGTTCCTACCTATAGAGAACTCCCTGATGACTGTCCAGAAAAGTCAAAGGGAGTTGGGGAAGGGGCCCAGGGTTTTGTCCTGCTCGGGTGGTCCTAGAGAGAGGAGTGTCCTTCGATGTACTGTTCACTCACCACTTAGGTCTCCTCAGAATTGGAGCAAACTGTTTCAGTGTTTTACTGAAGTTGTAGGGTAGACAGGTTTGGGGTGAGGTGTAGCTAGTTGTTTGAATGGCAGCTAGATGGATTGGTGGGGAGCCTAGCCACATGAACCTCCCTGCTGGCTGGCTAGAAAAGCTGAGGGAGTTGGGGAAGGGCCCTGGGTTTTGTCTCACTGTGGAAGTCCTAGAGAGTTGAGTGTGGCTGTGTGACTGTTCACTCTCCTCTTAGGTCCCCTCAATATTGGAGTAGGCTGTGTTGCAGAGTTCCACCATGGTTGTAGGAGGGTAGGAGGGTTTGAAGGTGAGGTGTAGCTAGTAATTTGGACGGCAGCTGGATGGGTTGGGGGTAGAACCTAGCCATAGGAAACTCCCTGCTGGCTGGTTAGAAAAGCCAAGGGAGTTGAGGAAGGGCCCCTGGGTTTTGTACCACTGGGCATATCCTAGAGAGTGTGGCATCCAGCCGTGTTGCTGTTTACTCACCTCTTAAGTCCTCTTTGATGGTACTAAATAAGTCATATTTCAACACAATTTACTTTGCAAGATATATTATGATATTAGCAAGAAGACAGGGCAAGTTTTAGAATGAATTTTCAAGTTTTCCATAATTTTGTAAGTTTTCAACATGCCTGTGAAGAATTGGTTTGGGTTGTATATCAAATATTTTGATAAAAATTCTACACTTAATCCCTTTGTATAAGATTGCTTCATTGGTACGGTGTGGAAGGAGGCTGCTTGTTCATTTCCTGGATTCCCAGACCCAAAATACCTACATAGAAACTGTATTAGTTAAATCACTGCTTGGCCTATTAGCTCTGGCTTCTTTCTAGCTAACTCTTCCATCTTAAAGTAACCCATTCCTATTATATTTTATTTTACTACAATACTCATGGTTTACTGGTACTGGCATTATTCTCCTCCAGCAGCTACAAGGTGTCTCCCCAACTCTGTCTACCTTCTATATACAACATTTCTAGCATGGCTATATTCTGTTAAGCCATTTGGCCGAAACCAGATTCTTTACTAACCAATGGCAATAAAACATTCCCAGCATATATAGGGGAATTCTACATCACCTCCGCTTTTCTGTCTAATTAAAAAGGAAGGTTTTAATCATAACATAGTAAAATTACATATAACAAAACAGGTTATTACTTTATATTACTTTATATTTTATCATAACTAAGAAAAACTATGACTATCTATTCATCAACTTCATCAAAGACTCCAGAAGAATATAATATTACCTAAGTAAACATGAAGTGAATTGTAAACAACTTCCAAAACTCTAGAATTGACAAAGACATCTTGCTGCCTGGACTGTCACCCAAAGTTCTGCTGTAACACTGGGACTCCCATATTTAATCTACAGGCCCATAGTATCTGGCAGACCTTTCTATGAAGCAAGAAATTTCAAAGACATTTCTGCCTATATAAGCAGTTTGTCAGTCACATTTTTCTGTGTCTTGCAGAATGTCTGGCAGATTCTTTCATGAAGCAGGATCCCCCCACCAGACTGTCTCACATTTAGGCAAGTTCAGCATTCATTTTTCTGTGTGTTCTCCTTGTCCAGTTCAACATAACATCAAGCAGTCCAGGCAAGAGTAGTTTCTTGCTCAAATGGCTAGAAAACTCCTTAAGGAGCCTCTTTGATGTCAATCATTCTCTTGATGTAAGTGGTGCTTTCAGGAGCAGATGTGTTTCATTATCATGAAAAGTCCTAAGTTTTTAAAACATTTTAAGTGCCATATTCTGTTAGTTTTTGAAAGGTTTGAAAAATACCTATCCATTTGAAATATATCTCTATATATCTAGAAAACCTAACTAACATGACTACAGGCTTGACTATTATAGATGACTATCTATTAATCTGTATTTTTAATTATACATTACCTTCTAAATGAGCTGTATAAACACAATACCTTAATCAAGAGCAGAAATGTACATATAACAAAATTGACCTTAAATTCATACCAATAGATCAAGATCCATACAAATGCAAAATAATAATCTCTATAACATATACTGCTTTGAAAGTAAACAAAAATTTATAGACAATCACTTAGGGAACTGCTTCCTGATTTTTATTCAGCAAATTAATTTTAGTGTTTGTGAAGATCTTTTCAGGCAGGGATCCTGGTCCACCAAGCCACTTACATGTGGAAGAAAATCACAAGTTCTCATCCTCTGTGGAATCAAAGCAGAACCTCTTTTCCAAAGTAACATATCCTTAGATCCTTTCTTGAGTCAAAATTGCTTTCAAATATATACATTGGTTTAGCTTACCTGTATAACAAAATGTCTCTCTGTACCTCATTCACAGTCAAAAAATTCAAAGAAAACACAGTAATATACACAATCTAGACTTCTCTGTGTATATACCATCTTTATGTGCCTTATTTTTCTTTTTTCCTTTAATCTATGACTCTTTTTACTGTGTTTCTTTAAAGGCTTTGTTTTATTTTTAAAGAATATTACTTGCTTCTTTTTATAACTATCTGTAATATTAAGTTGGGGGTGTCACCCCAGCCCTCTCACACCTCTATATCCAAGAAGTCTGGGATGATTGGAAGCCACTGACCTGGTAGTTGTCCTGGTCCAGACTTTAACTCCCAGCTTGCCAAACACTGACTCCTCCCCCAGGGAGGGCCAGGACTACTCTCACAGGTTATTTAGGCTCACACCAGAAAATGGAACCATGGTTTGGGATTTGCATGGGTTTTTCTCCATGATGTGCTGTCTTGATCCACCTGAAAGCGCCATATATATTAAATACGGGCATTTTAATTTGGTCTACTGGTTTGATTGGAGTTTCTTGCATCGGCAGAGAAGTTTATTAAGATTAAACCAAACACTGTCATCTTTCTTCTTTCTCCCAAGCCTACTTACGTTTATCCAACACTGTGACTCCACGTATAAGTCTTTTTGAAATATGAATCTGTCTTTATTGCATATCTGTAATCCTTTTCTGAACAGACCGGCTTCTTAAAATACTAAGTGGTGTGGTTAGGACTAAGGTTGCTTTACCTTTTGACTCCACCCATCCCAACATGGCGGAGACATGTTGACCACCTCTGCAAGCTATACACACCACCTCAGTTCCAGGTATACAGTGGGTCTATGTTGTGTCATTAAGCAGTTTGTAACAGGTTGCTCTTTCCGAAACCCCATTCAAGTCCTCGGCCTTCTGAAAGACCCAGAGATCATGCAGGCTCTTTTTTAAAAGAGTCACACAGTTTTTGCTGCTCCTGCTGAGTCAGGAAAGAGCTGTTGTGCCTCTGCTTGCCACCAACAAACAGCCCCTCTGGGAAAAAATAAAATAAAATGCCAACTACCAAGAAGCCATGCTTAACTCTGTTATTTTGTGTCTAGAATTTCTTTCCAAGCTTTTTCAGGTTTTACGTGGTTGCAGTCAGCCCTATGCACCAATCTGATTAAAAATTTAGCATCTTCACATTGCCATATTTTCCCTCCAGTTCTTTGTTTTTTTTGTCTTTGGTCTCCGAGTCATCCAGGCCATTGATCTTACTAGTCCAGGCAGTATCAGAATGGACTTACTCTACAGACTGGGGAATTTTGAGGAAGAGAGGGAGAAAGAAATGTGGAATAGAGGGTCAATGACACCACAAGAAAACTCATAGAATTAACTAACCTAGGCTCCTAGGGGCTCACAGGAACTGAACTGACAAACAGGAAACCTGCATGGGACTAACTAAGGCACTCTGTATATATACTATAATTATGTAACTTGTTCCTCTTGTAAGATTAATAACAGTAGGAACAGAGGCTGTCTCTAGCTCTTTACTGACTCTTGGGTCTTTACTCCTCATCCTCAACTTGCCCAGCCTTAATACATAGGAAAATACTTAGTTTTACTGCAACTTGATATGACATGTTTTGTTGTTTCTCATGGGAGCCATATCTCTTTTTTTAAACAAAAATTGAGGAAGAGTGAATTTTGGGTAGGATCATAGGGGGTTGAGGTGAGGAACTGGGAAAAGAAGAAAGATGGGATACTACAAACAAGAAGTAAAATGTAAATGTAAAACTGTCAAAAAATAAATTTTACATTTTTATTATGTTATTTCTTTTTCTCTATAGCAATCTTTCCATTCCTTAGAGGATTATATAACAAATTGAATATCTCCATGTATCCAAGTGATACAATGAAATTTATGCAAAATTTTGTAAATGAGACGAAAAAGGTTCGGCTTGAAGATAAACAGGAGGTAAAAGATAATAAAATTTTATTTCAAATCCAAAAAAATTCTATCCTTTGTCACAAATTCTCTTTACAAGGTCCTATTAAGATATTTGATGAATTTTGTTTGTTCTGAATTGTGGCTTGCCTTCAACTTGGGCAATTTCTCTGAGAATTGAGAGTGCCACTTGAATAATACAGCTTTGACTAATGTGATCAGCTGATGGCAGAAAGGCACTGTCAGTGAGATGCCAACGAATCAGTATCTAACCTGAAATGTCATTTCTTATTTGTTCTTATTCTGGGTATTTGGAATAATAGCACATAATCACATAAAGCCCAGCAATGAGCTCCAGAAACAGCCGTCGATGAGTATGGAATATTGGTTAAGATTATGTCAAGGAAACAACAGATGTATGTACAGGATATTTTTCTAAACAAATGTGCATGAGAGAAGGAGAAACTGATAATTATCCAAGCAGAGGTCTGTCCTCAGCAGCAACAGATATTCAGAATGAGGAAATGTCATGAGAAAAGGTGTTGGATATGAAAGAAAGATACTAGACAATGATAGACTTCTCCAAAATCTGTGGATGACAGTTTTGTGTCACCAGTGAGTCAGACAATGTTAGACTTAATTAAGTCATATACTCATAAAAGATTTTAAGCTCTTCATTCAATACTAAATTTTGAACTGACAACACAATTCTACCTTTGAAATTTGTGTCTACTTTCAGGCCCGAGTGGACTTCCTTCAGTTGATGATGAATTCCCAGAATTCCAAAGATACGGAGTCCCATAAAGGTAACTAAGGATGCTTTAAGGTCTAAAAGGAAAGCAGAGCGGGAGGGACTGGTTCTTAAAATGCAAAGAAGATCAATTAATCAGAGAAGGCATCCTGCTAAATTTCAAAAGGTCACAAACATGTGTGTTAAAAGTGGTAGCCTGAGGAACTTTCTAAAGTCATGGAGCATGTACATTCTAAAAGTAGCAAAGCTATTGTAACTTCCCTCTATGACAGAGATGCTACAATAATGAAATCTCAACAATATGGCTGCCTAATCAACACCTGATTTGTCCCAACAACAACTGTCATTCCAATAAGATGGGAAAACTATCTATGGTTGAGAACTCATCCTTAGATGAAATACTACAGATAGTCAACAACTACTGAGAGATAATTAGTCTTCCCCATGGATGAGTCTCTGATTGGTTATTTACTACAAAATGGCTAGCCCTGAAACAAGTACAAGTAGGCAAAATTGAAGCAACTCAGTAGGTTATATTTATATCATTTTTATTTGCATATGTAATAAAAATGGTTAAAGAAGAGACCCTAAATCTGAGAAAGCGTGGAGGTGTCGAATGGGAGGGGTAGAAAGGGGGAGTTAAAGGGAGAAATAAAACACAATTTTAATTAAAGTTTTAAAATTATGGAGGTCTATGTAAGAATGTCTTTCACACTCCAACAGTTTCAGTGATGTTTAGGTTACCTATATAAGTCAAATGCTGAGTCTCAGCCTCATGCAGAGCCCATGAATCAGAAACTTTACCAGCAAATATGCTTCCATAGCATACAGTCAAGAAATATAGTGTTCAAATACCAACCCTCACTGTTATTCATTTAGAGACTATAGAAATTTGTTACTCCTACCATAAAACAGTACCTTAAGGAGAAAAATGACAACGTTTATAAAACAGTTCCTCTTCATTCTTTTATTCAGTGTTTGGATATAGAATTTCAGAGTAGTGCTACTTTCCATATATTAGTACTACAATGTGTGTTTTGGAAATTTTTATTATTTAATTCCATTATTAATCCCACATTTGAAGTCAGCACTGAAGTTTGTGTTATTTTCTATTATTGTGAACAATTTTTTAAATTTAAGTATATCTTCAACATATTCTTTTACTACCCAAGGCCTTCCAGGTCCCCCAACTCACCCAACTTTAAATTATTTCCCAAACGCAAACAAATATCTAATACAACAGCAAAATTCCCCTAAGCCATCTACTCCTGAACCATAAGGCTTGCCCTGGAGTGGTTGATATGCCCAGTGTTACTACACTGAAAAAAAAGACTGATTTTCATTCTCCAACATTAATAAAGGGGACAATTCAGTTTTTAACTTTTTCCCTAGTGACTAGGTTTTAATTCATTCATTTTTAGTGTAACAAAATAAACTGTAATAAGATAAAACAGAAACTTACAAACCAAAGTTGGGGAAGACTAACTAAGACAAGAAAAAGAGGCCAGGGAAAGACACAAGAATCAGAAACCTACTCATTTGCACACTCGGGAAGCCCATAAGATTACTAAACTGGGAGTCATAATGCATACAGAGAACCTGGTAGAGACCTATGAAGGCTTATGCGTGCTGCCTCAGTCTCTGTGAGTTCATATGAGCTTTGATCGTGCTGATTTGGAGACTCTTGTATTCTTGGTGTTCTCCATCCCCACTGACTCTTACACTCTTCCTGAATCTTCTTTCATAGAACTCACTGGGTCATGCATAGAGGGGTTTGGTGGAGATATCCATTTAGAGCTGGGTATTCTAAAGGCTTTCACTTTCTGCCTATTATCTGGCTGTGATTCTCTACATTTTTTCCCATTTGCTGCAAGTCAGGGCTTCTCTGATGATGGTTGAGCAAGGATAGTGGACTATCATTAGGAGTCATTTTGTTTCTACATTTCTTTTTATACAGCAGTTTAATTTTTGCTCTTGGTCCTGGGGCTGTCTAGTCTCAGGTTCTTGTTCAACTAAGCAACAAGAAGTCTGGGTTACACCTCATGGAGTAAGTCTTAAAGTCAAATCATTTATTGGTTGGTCAATTCCACAAGTATTGTGCCATCATTGTCCTAGCATATCTTATAGGCGTTACACCACATTTAAACAAAGTGCAGAGTATCTTCCTGTACCAAGTATGGTAGAACATTGCAGATGAAGGCTCTCTATATATACACCAGGCTTGATCATTCACATGAAATGTCTTATTTCATTTTAGCTCTTTCTGATCAGGAGATAATTGCCCAATCGATCACTTTCATATCGGCTGGCTATGAGACTACAAGCAGTGCACTTTGCTTCACAGTGTATGCACTGGCAACTCATCTTGATGTACAAAGGAAACTCCAGCATGAGATCGATGCATCCCTGCCTAATAAGGTGAGTGGAAAGTACATAGAGACCCCAGGGAAAGGTCAAACCTCAACAAGAAATACTGTCTCCATACGTCTATTTAGGATTATAGTAAATAAATTAATAACTGATTCTTTTGGCAGTAGTCACTGAAAATCTAAGACAGAGGAAAATTTATGTGTGGAGTAAAACCAATCTCTGTAATTCTGTATGGTCCTGTAACATCCACTATCTCTAATTATAATAACCCAGCCTAAACCATGCATAAAATCTCTATAGATTTTTAAGGATAAGAAAGTATCAGTCAAGTGTCTTCTTTACAGTTAAGTGCGTATTTCACCTGCCTGTATATCTGTGTGCCATGTGCATATCTGAAATATGAGGAAACCAGAAGAGGGCATCAGATAACCTGGCATTATAGATCCAGAAAATGTATTCACCATGTCGGTACTAGCAACTGACCATGGGTCCTCTGCAAAATGAACTAGTGCTGTTAATCACTGTGGAAGGCCGCTAGACCCTCAAACAAGTGAACTGAGAACTGCAGTATGACTACTGGAACTGCATTGGCAAGACTGCTGTCAATGGGGTATTTCCTTGTCTTGGCTGGGCAGGCTGAATCAGCTATTCCCTTATCCTCTCTAATCACAGAATTTCACTTGAACAATGAAGATCCTGGCAGTTTCCAAGCTACACGGTTCACCTCTACATTATGATAGCTTCAGTGTCCCACAAAGTGGCAACCACACATTATATGAGCTGTCTTTTCATCTATGCCAAAAATTGAATCTAAAGGGTTGTGAGGGACCTAAACTCTGGACTGGCTGTGTTGTCAGTGAGGTGCACACTAAGCATCTTCAAACCCCATACTCACCCCGGTTCCCTTTTCATTCTGTCACTGTGACAACTATCATGATTTAAAAATACTATGGGGAGGAAATTGTTTATTTCAGCTTACATTTTCACATGACTGTCAATCACTGAGGAAAGTCAAGGCAGGAACTCAGGAAGGGAGTTTATAGGCTTTCAACTTCATACAGCACAGATTCTGACTAAGGTCACAGCCAATGAAGCATAGCAGGGACTATGGAGGATGCCGACTGCTCTCTGGTCCACTCACTAACCTATCATCATCCAGTTTTTGTATACAATCCAAGTTAATCCTTTCAGAATACACTACTACCTGCAATTGGCTGGACCCTGCCACATCAATGAACAATCAAAATACAGCTTTCCCATATATATGCACAAACAAATCTAATCTAGTAATTCATAATCTTTCATCTAAACCTCTTTCTTGGGTGACTCTAGGCTTTGGGATTTTGGAAGTTAAAGATTTATTAGAACACCATATGAAGCAGCAATGGAAGGATTCATTCAGGAGCTAAGCACGGAACTCTATGGACTAGAATATATTCCACCGGAATAGAACGTTTTTGCTCAGTTAGTCTCCATTTTTATCCTATTTTGCCATAATTAGTCTCAAAGGAAAAAGTTTCTACTGAAGTTAATCACTCTAATTTCAATTAGTATTCCTGTTTAATATGGCATTGATGTTCAAATTTCACATTTATAGTAATGTTAAATTCAGTCATAGGATTTAAAAATTATGAATTATCCTCTGGTAGAATTCATGATAGAATTTTTAAAAAGAAGTTAAAATTCTCCACATTACATTTCCACAGTCTGAACTTGTGACCTCCTTTATATGTTATGACATCCTCAATAACTAATTTATGTTGAGTGATATTTGCATAATATGACATTCATTATTACTGTAAAGGAAAACAGTACAAAAGAACACTGAAGATTTGGACCTAAGTGTAAGCTTCTCTGAATATTTTTTCATATTCACTTCAACATGCATTTCAGTGGCCCTTTAGCATGTCAACACACATATGACTTATCAGTGATAAATGCAGTCACTAATATTGTTGAATGAGGAGTTCCTATAAAAATAAAAGTACTCTATAGTTTGACATGAAAGTTAGTTTCAAATATCAAATCAGCGAAATCTTGTTTTTTAATCTTCCCAGGCACCTGCCACTTATGAAGCCCTGCAAAATATGGAATATCTTGACATGGTAGTGAGTGAAGCTTTGAGATTATATCCAGTTGCTAACAGGGTTAGCAGAACCAGTAAGAAAGATGCTGAAATCAATGGTATGCTCATTCCCAAAGGGACTGTGATGATTATACCTGTCTTTGCTTTACACCGAGATCCAAAATACTGGCCAGAGCCTGAGGAGTTCCGTCCTGAAAGGTATGAGGACCCTGAAAAGGGGAATGTACACTGAATCAGACATCTATAAGAAGGCTAATATGCTCAGTCTCTTTCTGTAAGCACATTAATATAAACTGATATTATCTTGGATGTGTATTTGATTTTAGAATATCAGTAGTACAGTGATAATTATAGTAGAATCTACATGAATTTGAACTGAGAAAAAAATGACAATTCTGTATTTTTTAATTTTGTTTTAGAGTCTCAAAACTGTCTTATTTATAGTTGCCATAGTGTCTATGAAGAGACAGTGACCACAACAACTCTTATAAATAAAAACATTTCTTAGGGGCTGGATGATGGAAAGCATGGTGGCATGCAGGCAGACATGTGGCTGGAGAAATAACTGAGAGCTCTATAGCTAGATCAGCAGGCAGCAGAAAGAGAAGACTGAGCCACTATACCTGGCCTGAGCCTCAGAGACCTAATAGGCATCCCCAGTGACACACTTTCTCCAAAAAGTCAACAACTCCCCCTAGTGCCAGTTTCTATGAGCCTGTGGGGTCATTTTTATTTAAACTACCACGAATCCTTAATATCAATTCCATTAATATAATGATACCATTGGTTATATTTCTAAGCATGCATAGGTATTTAAAAGATAGAAAAATACCAGTTTTTCTCCTGTTTTTATAAATTATTATTTTCTACTACCTATAAAGGCTACTTTATGTCAGATGCTTGTATGTGAGAGTATGAGTGTGTGTGATTATGAGTATGTGTGTGTCAAAAAAAGCAAGCGCAATTACAATGATTAGAATATCAATTATCTTTTTTAAGTTGTTAGGTTTACATTTCTTTAATATTGTCCATTTTTTCAAAGGAACACTCTGAACACATCCCCAAATATAGGAATCACCTATCAAATATAAGAATCCATTGTATTAGACATTGGTGCAGATAGAATGTACAGAAAGTCTCTTCTTTGATGCTAATACAAGTCTTCTTAGTCTTGTTTCTCTCTGGTTTGTGAGTGAAACTCCCATACACTCATCCAGTGGGGAGCTCCTCAAAATCCAAGTTGTTTTATTCATTAGAAAGTTGACATTTTCATCCTTCTTAAATATGCAGCATAGTTTTCTATGAATGGAAATTAATAAGCAGTATGGTAATTGTATGAAGCATGGAAGTAGTTGATAGATTGCCATTATTGCTTCACTAATAAAAATAAAGAATAATATTTCATTTTTCAAGTTTTAGAATGATATTTTTGAATCACATTTCTTCATTCCCCTTCTTTCTTCCAAATTCTCCTATACACCTCTCCCTGCACTTCTTAGAGTGCATAGCCTCTTTGTCACAAATTGCTGTTTAGGTGTTATTTAGATTCTCACATATGTTTGTATATGCATGTACATATATATGTGTGTGTGTATAAAACCTGTCAAGTCCATATCATGCTACTCTTGTGAAAATGACATTTTTAAGATAGATGCAATTGAACTTTGAGGCCACAAATTTAAATATACAGTAGCCTCTTCATAAAATACTTGATGCCTAAGATTGTAATCTTATGCACACATCTGGTGTTTGCAGATAATCTACACATAGAGCTTCTTACAGCAGTAAAATGGAGTGAACTAACTCCTCTTTTCTGGTTAGGTGAATTCTTTGTCCCTTTTATATAGTCACCACTTCTACCTCCTTTAGCTTAGTGACTATAAACTTAGACATCATTCATTGTGCATGTCTATGGTTGTACCAGTTTTCAGTCAGATAACGTAGACTCAGTGAATATCAATGACTAGACCAGGGATTAAGGAATACAAATGCTAAAACATATTGAGGTTATAATCGGAATACAAATGCTAAAACATATTGAAGTTATAATCAAACATGACATATAGGATGTCTACAGAAGTGTTTTAATATTTATTGCGTGTGTGTGTGTGTTTCTGTAACCTCACCTGACAGTATTCCATCAAGTTCACCTTGCACACACATACTAACACTACCTTCACCTGACTCCAATGATGTTCTATAAAATAGCTTAGAAATTATTCCACAACCCTCCTTGATATTTAAGAGCTCTCATAGAACAAATCGTTATTAGTCTTCTAGAAAATTTCCAGAACCAGCATTTTTATTTAAATTACCATGTGAGCAATCAAGTATTACTTAGACATAGGTCTGTAATTTTAGTAGTTTTTTCCCAAAACAGGGGGATTGAGACAAAATTCAGAGAAACAGCATGTGTCCTGGCAAACAACTTCACTTGATGACAGTTGGAAGTGAGTGAGAAAGTCAAAGATTTTGTAAAATGAGCTTATTGAGGGGAAAAAAGCATGACTGGGAAGGAGAAGGATGAAGAAGAAGAATAAAGATTAGGAAAAATAGAATGAAAGAAAGAGAGGATGGTGAGGAGAGTAGGGAATGAAATAGAAGCATTTCATTCATAACATGTATCTCTTTCCTTCACAGTGAGCAAATCCCCAACTCAAGTGTCAAGGGAATTCCTTCCTTCTCCTTCATGTTTACTTTGTGATGTTTACACACTGGGAACCCACAACATCTTTAATATTTTAAACTTTAAAGACACATTTCATTTCGATGAGCATTCACCACACATCATCTTATTAACATTGGGTGTTCCCTTATTGAAAAGTTGTAGAAAGAACATTAACTTTCAAATCTCATAATGAATTAACTTCACCACTCTTAGAATGGTGGGTAGATTGAAGTGTCCTGTATGAATCTACCTGAGGGCTATAAGTAAAAACTACAATCATGTTGCTCTTGTGCTCTTCATGTTTCATTACTTATTGTGTTCCCAGGTTCAGCAAGGAGAATAAAGATAGCATTAATCCTTATACATATCTGCCTTTTGGATATGGGCCTAGAAACTGCCTTGGCATGAGGTTTGCTCTCATTACCATGAAGCTTGCTATTGTCAAAATCCTGCAAAACTTTACCCTGCTGCCTTGTGAAGAAACAGAGGTGAGGAAGAACATATTATTTTGGCATGTTTTTTGCTTTATTCATAGAAATTTTTATAAACTTATGATATATATCAAATATATTGAATATACATATGGAATATACTAATTCATCTTTAATTAAGATTTTCTTTGTCAAAAGATCTATGTAAAACTTTATGCGAGTTCTAGGACCCTTGAGTTATGGAGCAGTTATTCTGAGTCTAAATGTAAAGGTAAGATAAGAGTCAGTGAAGATATTTCTTATAAGATTATGTATAGTAGCAATGATATTTTTACTGATATTGGTATTTCCTTGATACCAATGTATATTTATTTCACAAAATAGTAGGCTTTTTAAAACATTTTAATACTTGTATATGCTATACATTGAGCAGATTATTTTCTTTTTCTTTATTCTTCTCTCATAAAATACATCTCAAACACAACACAACCTCCTTTCCCTTTCCTTCCTCCTCCCAGGCCCAGCTCACTTACCCTATCCCTCAGTACCATAGCACTTTCATTTCCCTTTAGAAGCAGACCTCTTGGGGATGTCGATCAAAAATGGCATATCAAGATGCAATGAGACTAGACACAATCTCTCATATCAAGGCTGGGTGAGACCACCCAATAGGAGGAAAATTTCCCACAAGCAGACAAATGAGTCAGAGGTATCCCTACTCCCATTGTTAAGAGTCAAACAAAATCCCAATCCTAAACAATCACAGGATGTATGCAGCAGGCCTAGCAAAGACCTGGAATCTGACTGATTTAATAGAGGTCATATCCTTAAAGAAAACAGACTGTCTTTCACAGAAACAATCAAAAAGCAAGGTTCCTCAACTACGGGTGGGGTCATGTTTCTATTTACGCGAGCATACCATTATGGCTTGAGTTTGCTCATATTACATGTCTTTTACATGGTGTCACATCTATCTATCTATCTATCTATCTATCTATCTATCTATCTATATATCTGCACATTATTCTTGGAAAATACTGTTTCATTGAAGTCAATGAACACTTCTGGTCTTATAAATCTTCACACCCCTTCTATGTGCACTTTTTCTAAGGTGTCACATTTAGAAACATGTGTGAAATGTCTATTCTGAAGAACTTAAAAATACATTGTCATTAACATAAGTGAAGCAATAGCCAACAAGTTTAATTTCATGACTTCTGTATTAAAAGTGACTCAAAAGTTAGTAGGCTTTCATCATGGAAGAAGAATATAATGTGGTCATTTTGCCTTTGGTTACATGAGGGTGGGTCTTTTCCTGTTCTACATATGAATACAGATGAGTGACTTTATTTTGAAGATAGGTAAGCGTCAGGCATTTGGCAATCTTTAATAAACTCTAGGTGATCTACAAGATGACTTTCTAAAACTACAAGACAATCAGTTTATACACTCTTCTGCTGATAAAGGATTATTACTCGGTTGGAGGGTCCTCTCATCCACAAACTGACAAGAATATCATTTAAATAGTCAAAATGAGTCCAAATTCCATTTTCAGCACAATCTTTTAATTTCAGAAGAAATACAGAGAATTAATGTCACAATGATTCCCAAACTCCTCCCTCTATCATGACCTTACATGTATCAGATTTGAAGGTAAATATATTGCTTAAAATTGAGAGTTTGACAATCGTGTTTACCATATACAAAACCTACTCCTGGTGCTGAGGAATTCTATATATTGATTCAAGGATAACAGGAAGAGGTTTGAGACACTGGACATGGCTTGAGCATATAAAACATCAAAGCCTAACTCCACAGTGACACACTTCCTTCAGGAGCATACCTACTTAAGCAAGTTCACACTTCCTGATAGTGCCACTCCCTTTGGGGGCCATCTTCTTTGAAACCACTACATTAGTAAAAGTCATTTATTTAAGTTTAAGGAAGATTTATTTATGTCAAGGAAACAGTCCAGGTTGTTTAGGATGGTACAAAACGTACTATGTACTTTAGCAAGACTTGATGTTGTATTCAGCCTTCCTCTTACTTCTGAGTCTTGAGTACTAGGGTCATAGCCATGTGACAACATAGAAAGAAGCCTCTACTGTTCTTAATATATTAGTTCTACAAGTCTTCTGTAAAATTTGATTATTCATTAACCTAATAAACATATTTATTCAACTATTTCAGATTCCCTTGAAATTGGGTACGAAAATGTTTCTTTCTCCAGAAAACCCTGTTATCCTGAAGATTATATCAAGAAATGGGGCCATAAATGAAGGATGATTTTTACCTCAAGTTCTGAAATGTTCTTCAAAGAGTGCATTCTAAACACCTTGATTTGAATTTACTCCTAAAGAAAGCTTAGATGAAAATGAATTTAACCCACCACACTTCATGACAGAATCTTCAATTATTTTTCATTGACTTGATAGCATCTTGATTCTTGTATATGAATGGAAAATGATTATTTAGAATTTCATATCTTCTCTCATGTCAAAATTTGTCCATTTTTCCAGACATAGAACTATATGTTTGATTTCAATGCTAATAAAAGGTTTCTCCTTAATTTGGTCAATATTGTTTCAATTATATAATCATTAATTTAATTTCCCATTTTTGGTTGACATTTCTTTATACTTTAATGAATTGTAAGTTTATGTATTGCCCACTATCCATTTAAAAAAGAAATTTATTTGATTAGATGTGATGGCCACATTAATCTATTGGTAAAAGATGTAAATTTTGAAGGCAATTCGATATTAAGACCATTTTTCAGAATAATACTAGGCTCACTTGTGGGCCTGTAAGCTCCATTTTCTTGGGTTCTTTAACAAAGGTAGAGTATTGAATATGTGTTTCCTCCAATGAAATGGTCTTAAATTTGAGCAGAAAGTTGGTAGCTACCCCCATAATATTCATGTCACTATTCCATATATTTGCATGTATCTTGCCATGTTGGTCATTATGGGAGCTCATAGGATTCACTGTTGGATAAGACTGTTACTTTCAGCCCAAAGACTCCTCCCTAGCATTTTCCAGTACTATAAAAGATTGCCATCAAGGAGAAAGTTTCCTGGTGAATATTATGTTGATATGGCCTATGATCAATGTATTTAGCCTCTTCTGCAATAGGCTCTTATTCTCATGATCTGTAATGCTGACTAGTGGAACTGTTATATTGTCAGATCTTCTCTATTTATTAAAATTCAGTTAAAATGCCACTACATTTCCCCCTTTGGTCTAAAATTAAATAAAAGGCCATAATTAATATAAGAAAACTAAAAACAATAAGTACAATGACTATATACAATATATACAAGCCATAAATACATCAACAATGTCTAGTCCATTTGCATTTGACAAATTCAGAGAAAATATTTTATATCTATTATATCTTGGTCAGTCTAAAGTCTTATACCTAATTTACTTTCTATCATACCTTGCTTTATGTGTCTGACAAATTATAACTGCAACTACTTAAGCTTCAATTCCCTCAGAGACCCAAGAAGGAAATAATATTAACGGAGTAAGCCGGAAGTGCAAGCAAGTGACTTCCAAAAATTATGAGTAATGACAGAAACATCTGGTTGTCTGGACAGTCACCCAAAGTTCTTCTGCAATGTTGGGGTATCCATCTTTGTCCTACAGGCCTAGCATATTTGACAGACTTTTCTGTGAAGCAGGATATTTTGTTTCCTGTTTATCCAATTAGGGCAGCATAATGTCAGCAGTCGAGGAAGGGGTATTTTCTTACCCAGTGGCTTACTTTTGGCCTAAAGAAAGTAAATTCCATGTGGAGTTTCTTCGATGTCCATGATTTTCTCTGAAGTCAATTGGTTCTGCCAGGAGTAGACATGTCTCATTGTCATAAAATAAAAGAACCTAGGTTACTAAAACATCTTAAATGTCATATTCTATAAATTTCTGAAGTGTTTGAGGTTGACTTATTTATGTAAATTCTATCTTTGTTTTTACCTTGAAAACATAACTAAGATGACTACAAGTTCAAATATACAAGGAGATTAACTGCTAACCTATATTTCTTTATTATCCTAAACAGCTGATAATAGTAATTTTTAAAGACTAGAAATTTGTATTACATTGTTAAATGAGCTGTATAGCTGCAATACCTTAAACAAGATCAAAAATGTATGTACAATGTGTTTTATCAAAATCAATCTCAAATTTGTGTCAATACAAAGTTGCATACATTATACAAAAGTAAGACCAATGTAAAACATTTAAAACTGATAGTTGCTTTTTTATTATTATTTAAAATTTTATTTAACATACTTTCTAAAATTCCCATTTATCATAGCAACCTGTCCTGAATTCATAATATCAGCAATTTTTTCCTTGTTCTTCAGAATTATTGGGCTTTTTTGCTTGTTTTCTGTATGCATGTATTTGTCTTTTTTTCCATTCAATTATTTACACTGACTTCCCTCCTCTCAATCCCCTCACGCTCTCCCATACCCCTTCCTCCCTCTCCCACCCTGCTTGAGAGAAGGCAGGGAACCCTGCCCTGTGAGAAGTCCAACCCCCCCCCCACATCCAGGTTGAGGGAGCTGTGCATCCATATAGACTAGGGTCCCAAAAAGCCAGAACCTGCCATAAAAACAATTCTCAGTGTGTTTATCAATGGCTTCTCAGTCAGCCCCCATTGCCAGCCACAATCAGAGAGTCTGGTTTTATCACATGCTCACTCATTCAGACCCGGTCCAGCTGGATTTGGTGAGCTCCCATTAGAACAGACACGCTGCCTCAGTTGGTGTACCAACCCCTCGCAGTCCTGACTTCCTTGTCTGTCTTCTCCCTTCTTCTGCCTTTCAACTGGGCCTTGGGAGCTCAGTCCGTTGCTCTGAAGAGGGTCTCTGATTCTATCTCCATCTGTCACTGGATGAAGATTCTATGGTGATATTCGAGATAATCATCAGCGTGATAGTGGGGCAAGGACAGTTCAGGCACCCTCTCCTCTGCTGTCCAAGGACCTAACTGGGGACATCCCCATGGACACCTGGGATCACCTCTAGAGCCAAGACTCTTGCCAACCCTAAAATGGATCCCTTATTGTAGGTATCTTCTTCCCTGCTCCCATATCCACTCTTCCTCCATCTCCACCCTCCCACTCCCTGAAGCTGTTGCCAGCCCTTCCCTTCTCCTTTCCCTCTCCCCCTCTCCCCTTTCCACAACCTCACCCCACCCTCATGCTCACTAAAAGTATACAATGGAAGAAAGAAAGCATCTTCAACAAATGGTGCTGGCATAACTGGATGTCAGCACATAGAAGAATGAAAATAGATCTATGCACAAAACTCAAGTTCAAATGGATTAAAGACCTCAATATAAATCCGATCACACTGAACCTGATAGAAGAGAAAGTGGGAAGTAGACTGCAACACATGGGCACAGGAGACCACTTCCTACATGAAACCCCTGTAGCACAGACAGTAAGGGCAACATTGAATAAATGGGACCTCCTAAAACTGAGAAGCTTCTGTAAAGCAAAGGACACTGTCACTAAGACAAAAAGGCATCCTACTGAATGGGAGATCTTCACCAACCCCACATCAGACAAAGGTCTGATCTCCAAAACATATAAAGAACTCAAGAAACTAGACTTTAAAATTCTAATTAACTCAATTAAAAAATGGGGCACTGAACTGAACAGATAATTCTCAACAGAAGTTCCAATGGCCAAGAGACACTTAAAGTCATGTTCAACTTCCTTAGTCATCAGGGAAATGCAAATCAAAACAACTCTGAGATAGCTTCTTATACCTGTCAGAATGGCTAAAATCAAAACACCAATGATAGCCTATGCTGGAGAGGATGTAGAGTAAGGGGAACACTCATCCATTGCTGGTGGGAATGCAAACTGGTGCAGCCACTTTGGAAATCAGTGTAGTAGTTTCTCAGGAAATACAGAATCAACCTACCTCAGGATCCAGCAATACCACTCTTGGGAATATTCCCAAGAGATGCCAAATTATACTACAAAAGCATTTGTTCAACTATGTTCATAACAGTATTATTTGTAATAGCCAGAACCTGGAAACAATCTAGATGCCCCTTAATGAAAGAATGGATGTAGAAAGTATGGAATATATACGCATTAGAATACTACTCAGTAGTAAAAAAACAATGACATCTTGAATTTTGCATGCAAATGGATGGAAATAGAAAACACTATCCTGAGAGGGCTAACTCAGACCAAAAAAGATGAATATGGTATGTATTCACTCATTTGAGAACTTTAGCCATAAACCAAGGTCATTAAGCCTATAGTTCACAAGCCGAGCAGAAGCCAAATAATAAGGTGAACCCAAAGAAAAACATGTATAGATCCTCCTGGAAATTGGAAGCAAACAAGATTGCAGGGCAAAAGTAATAGTTGCTTTTAAAAAGTAGATTCAATAATCTACCTTTTTATCTTATCATATCCATATCCTCCCTTTTTCTTTTTAGAGTAGATTCAATAATCTATTTTTCTGTCTTATCATATTTATATCCCTTTTATTCTTTTCCTTTCTTTTTTTCCCTTCCCTCCCTCTCCCTCTCTGTCTCTTTCTCTTTCTGTCTTTCTTTATTCCTTTATTTTGTTTTTTGAGACAGGGTTTCTCAGTAGCTATGGAACCCATCCTGGGTCTGTCTGTAGATGAGGCTGACCTTGAGCTCACAGAGATCTGCCTGCTTCTGCCTCCCAAGTGCTGGGATTAAATGACTGTAAACCAGTGTCTGACTTTCTCTTCAAAACAAGAACTATGACTCTAATTTCCTTTGTTTAGCTTTTTTCCTGACCATTATCCATAACAGCTTGTAACCAACACATTAAGCAAAAATAAATATTCATGATTCATTTTTTTTGGAAATGTGGGCATTGTTTTCTAGGATACTGCCTGCTGACTGGGGGCACTGATAATCTTGTGGGGACACAGAGAAAATTTACAACTATGGTCAAGTCCTTACTGGAGTATTCTATGAGGTTGGATCATTTTCTCCAGTAGTCTTGAAGCCATTTTGGATGTAGAACTCAGAAGAAACTGCAACAAATGTACTCTGAAATGTTGGATCATCTGGACCATCTGTTCTCATTGGAGATTTTTTAGGGAATCTTCCTCTATCAAACCTTATTTTTTTAACCAAGAATGAATTCTCTCTCTTTCTGTGGAAAGAAAAGCAAAACCTCTTGTAGTATGAGGGCCGGCTTGTTGGGGTTTCTGTCCAGCCCAGTACCCCAACAGCCAGCAAGCAACAAAGAAAATCATACACAGGACTCCATAAGGTTATAAACTGATTGGTCCATTAGGTCAGGCTTCTTGTTAACTCTTATAACATATATTACCCCATTATCCTTATCTATGTTAGCCATATGGGCTCAGTACCTTTCTCAGTGTGACAGCTTACATGTCGCCTCTTTGGTGGTCTGTGCAGGAAAGGCTGAGAGAGAGCTTCTGCTTCCAGAATACTCCCAGTCTCTTTGCTCCACCCCTACTTCCTGTCTGGCTTTCCCGCCTATACTGCCTGCCTGGCCAATCAGCGTTTTATTAAAATATGATTGACAGA